ATATATTTTTAGTTGGCCAGCTAATTTCTTTCTATTTTTAGTAGAGACGGGGTCTCGCTCTTGCTCAGGCTGGTCTTGAACTCCTGACCTCGAGCGATCCTCCTGCCTAAGCCTCCCAGAGTGCTAGGATTACAGGCGTTGAGCCACTGTGCCTGGCCCCATTCTATGTTTACTAAATATTTCTGCCAAGCTATCAATCTCTCTTCTGATTAAGATATCTGATATACAGATATAATTTTTTTCCTATATGAAAGGGAGGTTTTTCAAATTAAAGACTAGCTTACTCTGCTTATATGCAAACTAAAACTATCTTTAACAAAAAAGGTGAAAGAATATTTAAAACTAAAACAACTTACCTTGGAGACTTAAACCCTCAATATCAAACTGACATACCAGATCTCACTGTGATAAGTGAGCACACATTACTATGTGGGGTATGAAGACCAGCTTGAGGGCAATATCACAGTGCGAATGTAATAGCACAGAAAACATTTACCTTCCCAAATGTGAAAATATGTTTTACTACCAGACCACTGGTAATTTTAATAAGCTCACGAACATTCACAAGAAGCAAACAAAAAAAATCAGGCATAATGGCAGATTTTTTTAATAGTTATATTTCAAACAGATACAACAAATGAAAAAAATCTTTCTAATTCACGGCAGGTAAACATGGGTGCTCAGAAGTTATATTCACATTTACATTTGGGCTGTCAACATTCCCCTTATATGCCCCCCCTTTGGTTAAGTGGCCCGTCTTCACACAGTGGCAACATAGGAAAAAACCTCCGTCACTGCACAAGAATCCACTAGGCACATTACCACTTCTTAAGTGAAGGTCTCATCTTGAAGGCACGTCAGCCACAAAAAGAAAACTATTACAGAAAACAAGTGTTTTTTCCCACCACAAAGTGGTCTCACCTGCAGTTCTAGCTTTCTTTACTCCAAAGGATTCCGAGTCTTCCAAGCTTCTCTTTCGATTTGTTCCCATACTAATATGATTAGGAAATATACTCTGATGACCCCCATTCAAGGTGCCGTTATTATAGAAACGGTTCAGATGACAATTCTGGAGGTTCAAGAGAAACTGGGCACACTCCTGGAAACCCTGGGTTTGTGCAATGTCTGCTGCCGTCAGGCCACTGGCATTTCTCAGGCTGTGCGACACAAAAACACTGAATTACACACCGCCCGAACGCCGGCCTGATCTCTGCTCCTGCTGAACTGACTAGCTATCTGAAGGTGACATGAAAGAGTAAACAAAATTTACGGCAAATCTTCATTAAAGAAGTAGGTAATCAACCTAGCTCTGTAACTAACTTCTCTTACACACATTTGATTTCTAAGCAAGATTTGGGAGATATTAATTAAAAAAAAATCAATATACTAAACTTTAAAAAAAGGCATCTTCCTATTTAACTTCTCAAAATCATGTTTTTGTTAGTCTGAAGAAATCTAAATTTATGCTAACTTCAGACTTTACCTGAAACTGAATTCTATATTATCTGCACTTAATTTTAATAACCCATTCCTTTAGCTTGAGTAAAATCATAACAAACAAACATGTACTGAAATTGTCCATGGCATTCATAACTGGCTTCCTAAAAATAAAAGTAATGGCTTACCAACAAGCCAGATTTTATGCTAACATGTGACACTATAAGTGGAAGTTTAGAAGGACATCCTCACATTAAAGTAACTTATCAGACCTGAGATCTGAAAAGCTGAGTGTTTTTGTGTCTTATTTTGATTTTTCTGGCCTTGCTTAGGAAAACTTGCAGGATTGTTACATTTTGGCACTCCACAGCATTTGAGTGGATGCTTCCTCTGAATAGCCTATTAATAGTGTCCTCAAAACTCATCCCCTAGACTAAGAGTCCTAACAACCAACATCTTGTAATACTTGGCTAATCACTAAAAAGTAAAGGTCTGTGTCTTTTACAGTAGTTAAGACTCAGATTAAAGTAGGAAGTGATGGAAGAATATAAGTGAAAGATCTGAATAAAATATAAAAGAGTAAGTTGAACTTATAAACCTTTAGAACACTGAATTAAAATTGAGGGACCAAAAGCAACTCCACGTTGAAGTTCCCCTGGAAGACAAGAATATACACTGCTCTGTGAATTAAACCTGTAAAAAAGCAAACATTCTGTTAGCTGCAGGTTGATAAACTGAAACTGGAGAAGTACTAAACAGCAAAGATAGCTCCCGTACCTGTTCACCAAGCTATACTAGATACACAGCGAAGATGTGATAAAATAAAAGCCTTATTTTGTGTCACTGAAATAACCAATCCAGAACCCCAATGCTGGTGTTTCTTGGTGTTACACAAACATACATATGCATACAAAAACCCAAAACATTTGAGAATGAAAACTTGAGAATCAGGGACGAATAATGTTTCTTTTTTAGAGAGTTAACAATAGCCTTTATTCATATTTCTAGTCATCCATAAAGCTCCAATCTCAGAAATAAAATCTCTCTGTGGACACTCACTAAACATGTCTCTACTTTTTAAAGCATGAGATAAATGAGATAAATACATTCTGAAGATCCAAACCCAATTTGATCAGACAGAAAAGAGGAAGACTTGAGAATCCCAGAAATCAACAAAATAAATGTTCTCAAAAACAGAAGGCAGCTATCTGGTGCAGGTTTATTAGGGACTAAAACTGACATTATTTGCCATAAGGCTTCACAGCTGTGAATTTTGATGATTATTATGCTAGTGTCTCATAATATTTTTATTTTGATAAAGACATAAATGAAAAGGAAACGCCAAAGTGTGGGTAGATTAAATTATAATGTAAATTTTATGTGTACAAAACCAACTAGTTATTGAAATTTAATATACACAAATACTAGGTGTAAAGCTTAACTGTATAGCTGGATCATTTTTTAAAATGGTATTTCATTTTCAGAAGATATCTTCAGAAGTGAAGACAGCCTAGAAAGGTCTACTCTTGTCAAGAATGTGAACAGAAAAATAAGTTGCCATATGAAAATTTAAAAACTCTTCAAAATTCGAAAAGATGAAAACTGAGAACATAAAGTTTGTAAAATGATCATTTCTATAGAAAAGGATGGACTTGCTCTCCAAAATCAAAGAATACAGAAATGAGAAGCTATCACTTAGTGTTAGGACAAATAAAAGTACCAACTTAATAAAGCTGACAGTAAAGATTACTCTTTAGTGGATCAGAGAAAAAAGAACAGCAAATGGATTTCTTAAATGGCATTTATTAATACAATCATAAATGCCAGTTCACTGAGGAAAATTAAGATGCTTAAGGGGTACGCCAATATCTGAAGTTGTTAAAAGAACATCTAAAACACAACTCCTTTACTCCACATTCAGAAGCTGAACACTACACTGAATTTGGGTGAGAACAGCAAGTTTACTGTTCTTCCAAGGAACTATAACCTTAAAAAAAGGCAACAAAATAATGTCAACATGTGGAAATTACTGGAGATTTTAAGTGTCTGGGAGTATCTGCCTGCTTCTGGCTAATACTGGCAAGGTCTCCCACCTTGCTTCCTCCCCTACCAAAAGCAGTTACATACCTGCGTGGCACTGTACCTGCACTAGAGCCAACCAAACTTCAATGTGGTTTTACATACTAATCCTAAAATTTACTTTAACTAAAAGAGCTCAAAAGAGGAATTATAGCCAACTCATGCTATGTGCTCCTATGTGTGGACCAAACAAGCAGGAAAGAATAATCGCAAATCAAACAACTTCTACTGGCTTCTCACATAATTCTGGGGGACTGAAAGTTAGACAGGATAGGGAGATCAAAATATTCTAGAAAATGTATTGAACAGATATCAAAATCTGGGAATACAGTAATTATGAAAGCATTAGAGATGACAATTTTGGTCAACATTTACATGGCACTATCTGTATAGTACTATCAGAAATAGGAACATATAGTGTGTGTTCTTTCTCTGCTTCTAGTGAGCTATTTCCACTCTGGTATCTCTGCTACTAGGGACTGGATGCATACAACATATAGTTTAACTGAACGGCGTTTATTTTCTCAAGCAGAAGGCTCTGTTAATGCCTGACTCTGGTACACAATAAAACCAGCCACCACTCCTCTCCTGCTTTCCTACATTCATTACCTCCACTCTCTATACCAGTTTGAAATATCCTAATTCTTCTCTGCTCACATTAAACTTGCAATGGTAGCTCAACTATGTAGTGCACATAATAGAAATTGGCTGGAAATAATCATTAGTGATCACCTAATGCAAGGGTAGGCACTTTTTCTACAAAGGACTAGACAGTAAATATTTTAGGCTTTACAAGCCATATATCCTCAGTCCCAACTACTCAATTCTTTTGTTGTAGCCTGAAAGCAGCCTCAGACAGTTGAGTGTGGCTATTTATGGACACTGAAATTTGTATTTTATATAATCTTATGTGTTAGGAGACATTTTGATTTTTGTTCAGCCATTTTAAAATGTAAAAAACCATTCTTAGCTTATAGACCATACAGAAACAGGCAGCAGGCCAGATCTGGTGAGTAACATTTAACCAAATAGATGATACTGATAACTATTCTACTTTCACTAATATTTTAATTGACAATTGTACATACTTATGGGGTACACTGAAAGTTTCAGTACAATGCATGGTGATCAAATCAGGGTACTTAGTATCCATCACCTCAAACATTTATCATGTTTGTGTTGGGAATATTCAAAATCCTCTTATAGTCATTTAAAAATATGTTATTGTTGACAAGTCACCCTGGAGTGCTACAGAACACCAGAATTTACTCCTCCTATCTAGCTGTAATTTTGCATCCTTTAACCAATACCTCCCTATACTCTCTCACCTTTCCCAGCCTCTAGTAAGCACCATTATACTCTCCATTTCTATAAAATCAATTTTTTTAGCTTCCACATATGAATGAGAGCATGCAGTATTTATCTTTCTGTGTCTGGCTTATTTCACTAACATAATGTCTTCTAAGCTCATACATGTTGCTGTGAATGATAGAATTTTCTTTTTTAATGGCTAAATAGTATTCCATTGTGTATATATACCATATTTTCTTTATCCATTCATCTGCTGGTGGACATTTAGGTTTATTCCAAATCTTAGCTATTGTGTGTGATTAGTGCTCAATAAAGACAGGGTGTAGGTATCTTTTTGATATACTGGTTTTCTTTCTTTTGGGATATATGCCCAGTAGTGAGATAGCTGGATCACATGGTAGTTCTATTTTTAGTTTTTTCAGGAACCTCCATACTGTTCTCCACAGTGGCTGTGCTAGTTTACATTCCCACTAACAGTGTGTAGATGAGTTCCTGCTTTGCATCCTATCAGCACTTGTTATTTTTTGTCTTTGATAACAGTCATTCTAACTAGGGTGACATAACATCTCCTTGTGGTTTTGATTCTCTTCAGAATGAAGAAATCTTTCACCTTTTACTATTCCTCTACTCTTAACAATGGATTTTCTGAAAAACGTCTATTAATCTCATGTACTACTAAATTCAAAAGATAACTTTTTAAAAGTTGCCAAATCTGTCACAAAATGTTAAATACCAAGAAAAATATCTAAAGGTAAACTTTAGAAGGACGTAAAACAAAAGACCTTGAGAGACCACAGAGAGGTAAAATAATCCTTCCTATTCCAAGTGAGTATTTTCCATTGCACATTCTAAAGGTGCCTTACAATGCAATCAGGCAAGCTGCTTCATCTGGACAAAGACAGATCTTCAGAAGTCTGAGTTCTTCAAATGATTTTTTACAGTTTAATTTCAAATGTATTATAGATGCTGAAAATCTTGAGGGTTTCCAAGCAAAAGATTAGAATAATTAAATTACATAATTCTAAAAAACATTTTCATTTAACAAAAGATGAGGTCTTTAAATTTTATTTTCATATATGCTTTCCTATTATTTAAAGAGTATTTCAATTTTGATGTTTTAATAGTTGAACAGTAATCCTGGCTAAAATACATCAAATTTAAACTCCATCTAGTGTTCCAAGTTAAAGTACATACTAAATCTAAGCTACGCTGCTTTACTTTCCCAAAATTCAAGAGGTGTTGGGCACTTAAATGAAACACTTGATTTATAGGTTCTATGTTAATTTCACATTTGAATCTAGTACTTTGTTCTGTTACAGTACTTCTTAAA